GATGGAAACATTCTGAAAATTGATGGTGGAGATATCTGCACAAAAATGTCAGTGTAATTGATACCAGTGAGCTGTACACTTAAAGTGGTTAAAAGGATAAATTTTAAGTTTATTGTATTTTACTACCCTGAAAATGTAAAAGCTTAATATCACGATTTAATGTTTTCTCTACTGACTGTGGGTTGACTGGGCTCAGCTGGGTGGTTCTTCTTAAGGTTGGTCATGTAGTTGTGATGGGTGGAATCACTGCAACCTCAAATGGCTGGATGTCCAAATGGTGCCTCCCCCATGTGACTCCATATCCCTGCTGGAGAGAAAAGCCAGTGGTGACTTATGGCTCCAGCACACAGGAAACAGAGCCTACCGGTCAGTTTAGGACTATGCCCAGAATTGTCACATGTCATAGCTGCCACATTGTCCTGGTCAGAGCAGTGACAGGGCTCACCCAGATTCAAAGGCAGTGGAATCAGAGACCCTCTCAGTGGGGGAGGGGTAAGGGGACATTTCAGGAGAGTATAGGATGGGAAGTGGAAGAGTATGAGGTGGGAGATGGGAGATGAGTATGAAGTATGTTGCTGAAGTCCTAGAGAGTTTAGGTAGAGCGATCAGGGAGGCACATACTTTGCCAGAATAATTTTTATAGATTGTTAGAATTTGAAGAGCCTTTGGAACCATTTTCTTGCAGTGACTTGTTTTAACTTAGAGCCAAAGAGAAGTAGAGCTGGGAGAAAATCATTCAAATTGGTCTTCTGGCTCCCAGGCTTGGCAAGCAACTTTGGGGACATCACCCTAAAGGACCTCTGAGTGCTATGAGCAGACATACGAATGTCTGGGAGAAAGATGGGTCTATGAGAGCAGAGTCCTGGTTCAGTGGAATCAGCTCAGTGGAGACTTGCCAGCATCTTAGAGGCTGGCCAGCTGCTTGCTCTGCTGGGCAGGATCCATGGAGAGCAAGCGGCCTTCTGTTTCCTGTAAGTCAGGAGTTCCTGCTGTGTGTCCACAGTGTAGTGGACATTTCCAGATGAGTGGTGGTCAGAAAAAGCCTAAGATTGGACATGGATAAAGCAAAATGCACTTTGCTTTGGGGCTTGCACAGTCCTCATTACCTCTAAGGTCATTTGTATAGCTTGTGACCCAATTTGGGCAGCCAGTCATCCTGGCAGCGATCAGCATGTCTGCTTAGTGGAATGAATGAATTTGGGTGGGAGAAATTCCCTTACATGGGTGTTAACTGCCACATGATCCACAGAAGCATGGTAGAGGACTTTTTTTCTAGCCCCCCCCCCCATGTCTCTACTCAAGCAGTTACCCCCCCTTCCTCATGAAAACTCTGCCCTTTCCACAAGCACATTTTGCCTTTTATTTATTATTTTCTCTGGTCTGCCCCATATAGGGGCAGAAATCTAGAACAATAACAGCTTCTGTTTATGATTTTCTCCTTGCATCCGCATTTTTAGATGTTACTGTATTTAGACAAGTAAGAACCTTGTCTCACTGTATAGAGCGCTGCTGCCTGGGTCACTTCTCTCAGCTTAGAGGCAACAGGGCTGTACGTTGAAAGTCAAGGTGTAAGCAGGTTTGGTTCCTTCTGAGGTTTCTCTCCTTGGCTTGCAGATGGCTGTCTTCTCTCTGCCCTCACTTGGTCCTTTCCTTGTGTGTTCACATCCTGTGTGTCTTTGTGTTCTAATTTCTTCATCTTAGAAGGGCTAAATCAGCTTAGGGCCCACCCTAACAGCCTCATTTTAACTTCATCGTTTTGGTAAAGGCCCTGTCTTAAAACACAGTCACATTCCCAGCTACTGAGATTAAGGCTGAATTGGCGAGGTGCTGGGGAAGGTTAGACAGTTTAGCATCTAACACACCTTAAACAATTAACTCTTTATCCATGTTTAACACCTAATGAAACTAAAGTCATTTGTCCCATGTTACACCACTACTCACACTTGTTAGACATGTCTCTAACTTCTACCTCCTCCTTTCCCACCACAGGGCTAGTGAATCAACTCTCACTCATTTCTGTGGCTCTCATGGGCTTTGCCTGGGACATGGCGCTTAGAAGCCCCTCTATTTGCTGGTGAATGAGCAGGGAGGTGTGGGTCCAGAATTTGGACCAGAATATATGGCAGCATATTCCAAAGCCCAGCATCCACGGATCGAGACCTGGGGACACCTCCAGCAGATGTGGCCCTCAGCTCCCCCCACGCACGTTTCCAATCTGAGATGGGCATGATTAGTGTGGGGGAGGGAATCACGTTTCACAGCATTATATATCTTTTTTTTTTTAACATTTATTTATTTATGCATACAGAACTGGGGTATAGGCCAGAGGTGCAGGGCCGGTGAGAGGATTTTCCAGAGACAGAGTGGGGAGCAGAACTGACGAAGAGCACTGCTGAGGGGAGCAGTGGGCGGGTCAGGAGGGTCTGTGGCTCCATGTGGGTCGGCTCCCTGGCTGGGGATTGAACTCGTGCTGAAGCAGCTGTGACTAGTTTCACAGGCTGCGCTGTAACCTGTTGTGCCACCAGGGAGGGGCTGGCATTGTATATCTTTTTCAGGGCCATTTAGCTATTGCCTCCTCTGAAGACACTAAAAACAGTTATATAGTAATTAAGATGAATTATTTGAGCAATTTTAATAGCAAAATGATTGATTTTGGTTTTCCTCTCCACTAAATATTTGAGTCGAGAGAAGGATCTGTATAGTTCTTTAAATTTGCAGAACTGTCTGTGTATCTTAAGAAGGGCCTAGTGGACTACCATTGAGAAGGAGGAGATTGGCATATTTAAGATGCACGATCTAAGCCAAGCCTCCTTTAGCTGACTTTTTCATTGGTTTCCTTTGCATCAAGCCCATTTTAAAATCTACTTAGTAGCCCCAGGGCCCTTCACCCCAACTCAGCCCGGGAGGCCCCTGTGGAGATAATGCCCTTTCTCATTTCTCTTGAGTGCCTTGCTCTTCCCACTGGAGAACCCACGGGAATATAAATACCAGAAGGCAGCCTTGAAAGGAGGCCTTGTTTGCTGACCCTTGACTGCAAGAAAACTCGCTTGTCTGCCTCCTTCCCTGGCCATGGGTGGGCTGGATTTTTTGGAGAGTGGGGAAACCCTGGGGCTTTTTTGTGCTGCTCCTGAAACCAGAAGGTAGGTAGGCTGTTACTAGGACCGCCAGAAACCCGTCTGCCCAGAAACGGCTCAGCCCAGAGCTGCAGAAAGCAGAGGCTGGGCTTAACCCCTTGGGATAGCCAAGACATGGGTAGCTAAGCCCAGGCGCTTTGTCTTGAAATAGCGTATTCCAGAACATTCTGAAGCATGTCTTTCACATTTTCTTTGAGGAAAGCTGTTGCTTCTTTTTCTGGGAACCCATGAACACATTAGCATCGTACTGGCTCCAGGGAGGATTGCCACAAAGAGACTTATAAACCCTTGTTTAATCAGGATTTATTTCTCAAACACACTTGACTCTGGGTCTTTTCCCCATGCCTATTATTAACTTCTCTCTACTTTAGATGGTGCTCTCTACTTTAGATGGTGATGGGAGAGCACTTGAGTAGGGATTCAGTTACAAGGGACTAAGATAAGGAGCAGGTCACCGCTGGACGGCAGCTTGGGGATGTGGCAATGTGCCAGCCAGGATGGAGACCGCCCCAGGAAAGGATGCAAAACAGGTTGATCTCATGCTGGAGCAAACTCAGAATTTGGGCTCATTAATTTCCTTGTGTCTCCAGAAAGAAGGCTAAAAATGGGAGAAAGGCCTGGTAAAGGAGGGAGAAAAAGAAAAAGGAAAGTTAATTATATATATTGAGTATCTGTTATAAGACATTTTACATAAGAGGCAAAATAGTAGCCCCATTTTATAAATGTTATAAGACATTTTACATAAGAGGCAAAATAGTAGCCCCATTTTATAAATGAAGAAACTGAGGCTCAGAGACTGCTTAGCAGATGGTCATAGCGTCAGTGACAATGACAAGAGTGTGGTATTTATACTCCATATAAATGATAAGAAGCATAAAATTCTGAAATCAGAATGCCAACCCAGCTCCAGATCTTTTTTTTGTTGATGTGTAGATTGTTGAGACTAGACAGTTTGGGTTGGTGTCTGTTCATACTACTCTTTAAATTTAGGAAGTGAGACGATTATTAAAACAAGGTTAAAAAAAAACACAAGTGGGACCAAACACTGGCAAAGTGAAGGTTAAATGTCATAGGGGTGTGGGGTGGAGTTGGGGGGGGGCTGAGTGGGGAACAGCATAGATAAAATTTGAAGACAGGATTAATTTTGCTATGCTGTTTATTGTTTTAGAAATGGTATTTCCTGTCACATAGCTGAATTAAATACCACACACCTGTGATTAAATATTATGGGTGGCAGAATATACGTGCCAATAATACAGTACCAGCTGGACTCCCCTGGGGCCCCCAGGGGAGGGTGTACTCGCGAGCTTTTTTCCTTGACTTAGGATCTAGTGTTGTCCTTGATTTCTTTTTGTCTTGATTTTTCACTTTCTCTCTTCAAGGGAAAAATTCCTTTGGAATGCTATTTTGAACACATTCACAGCAAATCTTTTAGAACGTTCTTCATAGATGCGTTTGGCACCTTGACTGACCCTAGCTTTGGTTTTGTTTCAAGAACATCCCTTCTGGGGGCCTGACTGCCCACCTCCGACTGCACACAATAGGGACGCTTCACACACACACCCCGGTCCAGTGCTGGGGCTGCAGCTGGGAAGTAGAGCACTGTGGTCACGGGGGTGTTCCTTGTTTGGGGGTCAGCCAATGAAACCACTCAGACACTGACAGGAAGACATTCTTTCTCTAGATTATGCAGCTTTGTGATGGAGCAAAAAAGTCAGGCATAAAGGACTAAATTCAGGCCTCCCCACAGGCGTGGGCGTAGCTGAGATTCAGTTGTGTGCATGGGGCTTGAGGAGGAGGCAGCTTCTATGACAGTTCCCTTGGGGCCCATAGGAGGCTAACTGCTCGTGGGGGTGCTTTCCTGACTGCTGCTGATATCTCCCAGCATCTGTCCTCCCAGTGCCTAGCAGAGAGAGATGCCAGATCCCAGGGACCATCCTGGAGGGCGGTAACTGTCACAGGTATGCGCCGAGGTAGGCACAAAGGTGGGAGTGCTTCCTGGGCGGCCAGATGCCCCTCTGATTTTGAAAGTCTGCAGGAAAAGGTACTTCATATTTATGCTTTGTCCACATGGTTTCTGAAGAAAACGAAGTGAAAACTATAATGAACAACAGATATAGAGCCTTGAGTAAGGGGGTGAGGGAGGAAGGGAGAGGCAGGGAGTTACACAGAGTTTGGGGAATTAGTATCCCAAGATTGACACTAGAAGAGGCACCAAGATCTACTTATTGGACAATAAATCTGAAAAATTGTTCATCACAAAGGGTGGCACTGCCAGTTGATGCAGTGAAGGAGGGACAGGGAAGAGGCAGGGTAAGCCCTGCACAGCGCTGCAGAAGGACCTAGGGGCCCCAGGTCTGCCTCGTGCTGCCCGGTTGACTGTAGGCAGGTAGCTTAACGTCTCTGAACGCTGTTTTCCTCCTCTACCAAATGATGATAATATTACCCTGCAGGGTTGTGGTGATCAACACAGAGCCCTTAGCACACTGGGCAGCTCGTAAGTAATTGTACACTTCATTGGTGTGCTTCACCACACAGAATCGCTCCAGTTTCTGTCTAACTAACTCCGTTCTTGATCTGGGTAGAGCAATATGAAGATCCACTTTATGGAAAACTGAGAAGATCATAACTGAGAAGATCATTTCAAGTTACTCAAAAATTACTCAAAGTGAGGATTTGAACCAAGTAGCTGACTTAATTGACTCTGCAGAATTACTTCAAAAATTTATCGGTCTGCATCTCTGTGTCAGTCACTGGCAGGCAATGAGATGTGATCCCTTCCAGAAGAACCTCCCCTCTGGCCTTCTAGGAATAAATGAATTTTCCCTAAAACTTGAGCATTTTTATCCCCAAATTCTTTCTTTTGGTGAGCCCACTTTTTCATACTGATGCTTCTTATTCTTAAGACTTATTGCAAGAATGTGCAATACTATTAATAATATTTAAGGTATAGTTGCTTGTAAAAGATTTGCTTTTTAAAACAATTTACAACTAACTTGTGGTAATCTCCAGTATGATTTTAAAGAAAGATTTATTTATTTATGTACGCAAGAGCTGGGGTGTAAGCCAGAGGTGCAGGCAGGTGAGAGGATTCACCAGAGACAGAGTGGGGAGCAGAACAGGGGGATCGACTGAAATACATAGCTGAGGGGCGCAGCGGGCGAGACAGGAGATGTCTGCTGCACCATGTGGGTCACCTTCCCTGCCCGGGGATCAAGCTCATGCTGCAGTGGCTGCAGGTAGCTTCATAGTGCTGAAGCTTAACCCCATCGGCCACCAGGGAGGCCCCTCCAGTAAGATTTCCTAAGTGGAAGAAAGAAAGGAGTTGTGTGTTGTACAACATTGTTTGCACAGGGTGTAGACTGGGCCCTCCTGTTTTTGAGCCGCGTTTAGCATGGTAACAGGATGGGGATAACGAATTATTTCATGGGGATAATGAAATATTTCGTAGGCTTGTTAAAATCTGGGTACCTCCAAGACAATGTGCTGGGCTTCTGTCACTTGTGGAAAGGGTTGAAAATCACTGTCTACCTATGTCCTTGTTCTTCCCAGTGTGAGCAGACAAGTTGTGCCTCCTTTTGATTTGTTCTTGTGTTCAATATGCTGCTTTGAAAATTGTCAGCTGAAAACAATGTCCAATAGTGAACAACACTACCCTAGCCATCTTCAACTTCAGAGATTGATTTCTAGAAATGTCTACTGTTAACTAGAATAAAATGCCTCAGTGATAGTTAGACAAAGAGTTTATGAGAATCAAAGTAAGGATTTCAACCCAGGTGGCTGGCTGACAGATTTACTCTGCAAGAACTATTCCAGCCATCACAAGTTTGAGTCTGGTTTATGGATAGGATCAGTGAATCCTTGACATAAAACAGTATCATTATTGGGGGTGGGGTGGGGCTGGGGTTTCTGGTGCTGAGGTATTTGGACCTACTGATGTTGCCATCTTTGTTCATGGTAGGCAAATGCTGGGGTCCCAGTCTCTCATCTCTAAAGGTATTGTGGAGATGCAAAAGCTGGGGCTTATTCTTTTTTTAGATCTATTTATTTGTGCATACAGAACTGGGGTACAGGCCAGAGGCTCAGGGGCAGTGAGAGGCTTCACCAGAGACAGAGTGGGGAACAGAACAGGC